CGAATATCCGAAACGATAACAACTACATGTCTGCAGTACCTATAAATAGTTGCTTTAAATTGTAGTCTATTACACGTATGTCACTTTATTCAGTCTTGGTGGTGTGGTAGTGAAACCGTCGACACACTGTTGGCTGAACCTTTTAAGACAGTAAAGTGTGGGTGCATATTACAATGTATCGAAAAGTGTGGGCAATACCATGAATGGCTGGAAATCATGCATGTATGTATACAGTTTCGCATGTTTTTATTAATAGAGCTTCAACCGACCGATGTGGACTTTGATAGAATACAAATATACACACATCCATGTTAGCAGCTGTGCTTATAAACGTATGAAAATGTCGGACAGGAAAAACAAAACAAAAAGGAAATCACTTGCGTGTGACTTTACGACTTTCTCCAAAAATAGCAGTTTTGTCTCTCTTTCACTCTGGAAAAAATAGCATAGAGAACGCCCTCACAAATCCTTATTCGAATGCAGACACTCCTATTCTGTGCGAGTACCAGCTTCAGGTGAAAACTGGGCTACACGCGGAACATGAAACGTACGAGATGATAAAGAAAGAAAACACGAGAGCCAAAAGTGCTGTGTATGTACATACATATTTTGGTGCATTCCTGATGGACGCGGAAGATGCAAATTTGCGTCACTTGTCAAGCTTTTAAAAATGTTGCAAGATCTCGAATCGATGCTGCACGTCTGGCATAAATGTGACGAGAAATATTCTTTGTGAAGATGTCGGACGGACGTACGTGCTTGTGTACAACTCTTCTAATTGTGGAGGCGTTCTCCAGCTTTTCATTCTGGACACGTTCCTTGCTCCCCATCCTCCTTGCGCACCTTGTTCCGTTCTTTGCTCGTTTTCGCCTCTCGCCATCCTCCGTGTCTGCCTGGTGCTTTTTGGTCCAATATGCTTTCACCACATACGTAGAACAATGGGGTGTCTAATTTATTCCGAACATAGCATCGAGAACAATTCGCTCTGTTTCAGTTAGAACAAATTCTAAACGCTATTAAATTTTGTTCTGTATTTTATTTGTTTATCTTTTCTGACAATTTTACAAAGAAAGATTATTGAACTGAAAACAAGCAATTATAACTAATGGGGCATGCCTGAGCTGCTTTTTACGTACATACGTTTTAAGTAAAATAAATATAATATTGAAAGAACAATGTATGGACATAAGTGGTTTAAGTGGACCATTATTGACTTGCATGGTTTTCTCTTTGTAATAAATAAGGGGCAAAGGAAAATATAAAATAACAAGTCAAAATTTAGAAAAGTGAAACAACAAGCAATCTTTATATTTATTTTGGACTTTTGTTACTACTTATCGAATATTCTGTATGTAGGCGACATGAGAAATATGTGCTTTGATAAATTTTGCTATGCACTACTACATACATACATATTTAATAAGTGGAACTGGTTAAAGATGCACCTGCGAAGACACACAGACCCCAAAATCTCACGACTAAGACGCACGGCGACATTTAATTCATCAACGACTCATTTATGTTTACATTTTATATGCGATTTCATAGCATTTTGTAGCTTAAAAGTAAGTACACAGACATAAAATAAGTTTATTATCAATGAGTGAAAAGCATTTATTTATTTGAATCGTGTATAACGTGCTTTAATTAAGTTAAGTATAACGTGACCTGATGTTAAAGCATAAAATGAGAATGGTGTATAAAGGAAAAAGTGGATTGCTTTGGGATAAAATTTTACAGCTACCCAATTCTAATGTAATTCAAGTCTTTTAACCTTTTAGGTCTTCCCTAATGACAAAATTATGTGCAGCCTACGGTATCAATTTCGAATCATTTTTGATTTCGCTAAATGTGCAAAAATCAAGTTTTGCCAATTTCACTATGTACATAACTAACTTTTAGTGCAGCGCGTGTCTAATTCCATGCTACTTCTTCAACCATTTATGCACCTCGGCGGGTTGGCTATAAATAGCCATTTAGGGATTTAAAATTCTTCTGAAAACCTTTTCCGCATTAAGGGACAAATAAGTCAAATACGATTTCGGGAGGAATGCAATTTCCAAGGTCCCACATTAAAGGGTTAAGTTGTTATAAAGCTCATTCATCCGTTCTTTTCATGCCGTTCATACATACGTCCATTACACAAATGCACATCAGACACATCCACAACTACTGCAACTTGATCATTTGCAGAGTTTTATTTAACCGAGACTTTGAAGGTCGTGAATGCGACTCTCAGCCTCTAATTCTCGACTACTGTCCCCAACAATCAGTTAGTTTAAAGGATTTTCCATTGTTCCAAGTATGTGAACGGCATCTGGTAAACTTAAAGACGTGATCTTTCTAAATGTCAGATCACATCACAAATGTCGCATTACATTATTACAATAACTATCCGCCTTGTAATTTACTTCATTTTTCTTATCTCTCTTTTTTCCATGTTTTAGACGTGTAATCAACTGCAGTATAGCACACAAGTACATACTTACATATGTACATACATACAACTTTCATACATATATATCCAATCATCGTGTATTGTGTGTGCAAGATTTCATCTTTTGCCTGCAAGGTTGTCAAAAGACTTTGAGGAAATACGAGAAGGGTAATTTTTCTTAGATGAGACACGCAGTGCTATTAAAACAAAAACACAATAAAAAAAACATCCAAGTATTAGATCGCCCCTTTTCTGAAATTATTTCGAGTACTTATCTTGAGAACGGATTGGGTTGAAATTTTGCAAATATATAACTTTCGGGGTTCTATCAACAACATCTAACGGCATTTCATTTTTGAACAAAAATCTGTGTAATAAATTGGGAAATTCTATCTGTGTACATTATTCTCAATGGCAATGATGTAGAGATTTTAGTTTAATATTTGTAGTCGCACTACCACATCTAAGATTCAGATTGTCACTGGTTTGGGTTTAGTCTGTACACATGCAAATATATAGATGAATTCAGGGACTGTGGAACTGTGGGGACATATTTTTCAGAAATTGAAGGGCTTTCTATCCTGAAAATGTTATCAGACATCTCCCCTGCTTCTATATCTTAGAATGTTGTCTCCCCACGGTTCCGCAGCGCCTGGACGGATGGGTGTGTTTTTCGAGATTTGTGTTTCATTCCATTCATTTACATATCTGCAGAAGAAGGGAGACTGCTTCTGCTTATGTAATAATAACCCTTTTTAAAGATAGAGAGAGATATGTACAAGAGTGCAGTCTGCATATGTATTTGAGAAGAGAGAGACATTTGGTGGTGCATTTGCACATTATTCCATTCAGCATTCGACTGAGAGTTTTTTGGAACCTTTCCAGCCAGCAGATTTTGTAAATGTTTGAAAATAGGAGAAGGTTGCGGTGGTGCTGCTGCTTGGGGAAAGTCTGAAAATTGTACATCACAGACAAACTACAAATACATGGCAAGATCTATTATCTCGTACTTTTGTACTTGATTTGGGTCGGTTTTGCACTTGTCAACTCGGAACAGCGCCACATTACTTTCAGGCTTTCATTCCTTGTTGTAATCTGTTCATTGATGTCGTACTTCCTTCCTGTCTGTATTACAGTCGCTGCATGTTTTACATGAATGCCAACTCGTTCAATGCGAAGTAAATACGTATGGCGAGAATGTGTGTATGTACGTATGAACAAAATAAGTAGCTAATTTAAACCACACTTTTGTGAATGAAGAAATTTAATTAAGTGTCTTCTTTCATCCTGTGCTCAACACAAGTGTCGCTTTATTTATGCTGCCCGTGAGAGGAACGCTTCAAGTGACGCAATCACTTATTATGGGCCATATATGAGTTGATGGTCAATAAAATGCTCATGAATTTAATCAAAGTTTAGACAAATCATATCTGCATGAAGATTGCTGGAGGAGAATGCATGCACACTAAAATAAGAACTGTCCCCATCTTCATTTCACTATGCAGCTCATTTATGATAGAAACTGAAGGATGCCAATTATCAGTTATCAGCACATTACCTCATTAAAAGCCGACGTAATGTGAGCAGTAGTCAGCAGCAGCAGAAGTAAGTATGTGCAAAGTCATGACTCAATAATATCACGCAGAGGGCAAAATTTGTAAGTATTAATAAAGACCATGTCGTCGCCTTTCGTTTGTGCTTGACGTAGAGTTCAAGCATTATTCGCAATAATAATAACAACTTGGAAAGAAGTGTCGTAAACTGAACCAGAAGAACTGCGTATTATTATTTGAAACGGAGGTACAACGGTTAAATTCAGAGAATCGAATGTCCCATTTGTTGATTGTTTAAATGAATGAATATATATTCGAATTGGCTTTTACTGCAAATTGAAACCTAGCAACGAATTGAACCGTATTATGTGTTCTCCTTCTGTTGTCCATGATATATTTCAATAGCTGCTCAATAATATCCGTCGCACTCCTTTTAGTTCGATTTTAACTGCGTTTCATACCACGTAGTTGTTTTCTTTGTTTAATTGGGGTGGCAGAAAATGGATAAAAAAATTACCATTTTTCACTACTACTATGACGGTAGGTTTTTCTTTTCACATATTTTACACTCTAGTAGATATAATAATCTTTGACCTTTTCGCATTCTCCGGACCAGACTTGACGCCTGCAATTTAGTTGAATTTATTTGTCGCCTTTCATAAATTTCAAGGACTCTTGTTTAGTTTGGGCAAATTCAAATGTTTTTTAAAACAGATATGAAGAAATGTTTGCATTTTAAAAAAACAACAGATATTTCCCCAACTCAAGTTCAACATCCATCGATCATTTAGTGGTCGTACATATAAATAGCTCGCAAGCTAGAATAAATAGCTGGTTAAGCAGTGATAAATGGGATTGAGGACAGCTAGAACCTGCCTCGGCGGAGCGGTTGTCTCGAACATGTGGGTTTTGGGTGAGCTAGAAGAGGGGAGTAAAAAACATGGTAAAACTCTGCCGTCCCCTCCCAGCAGCAGCAGCAGAGAGGCACAGAGAGCAAAATTGTATAATGAGCCAACTTCTTCTATCTCTACACTACACAAATACTATAATAAAACTTTACTCCTGTTGTTACTTGCTCCTGCTGCTGCTTTTATACATACACACTTGATTTGATGATTGGTTAACATCGGATCAAACTAAAGTTAAAGTTGCTCGTAAAATTAGAATTGTACATAAACTTGGTTTTAACTGGTATGAAAATCAAACTGATATGAAAATCCTTCAACTTTTCCAACCTTCTTTTCGAACGAACGGATCGCATTGTTTGTGAATTTTTCTTTGTGTTGTTCATTTAGGAGTCAAAATGTGAGGTGTTTTAGGAACAGAAATACACTGCTGACAGGGTATTCAGTCGTGTCAAGTGATAATGGTTTTTTAGACTTTAACCTGGCGTAACCTGATCATGCGAAACGATAATACGCTGATTGGTCATTAAATTAGTGGTAAAACTTAATGTTTTGACTGTTTGGGGAAGATTGTGAACGAGGAGGTGGTGGGGAGCGGGGAAGGCGAGGGAGGACATCGATCCCGAGGGGCGGAGGAGGAGGAGGCATTCGCGGGGTGTGGAGACGACCCGTTCCTGTCGTGACCGTGATGAGGAAATTGACCGAGGACGAGATGAGCGGATCCTCCTCAGACTCGGAACAGTCGACGTCCAGTTGTGTGACCGTCGGGGGTGGTTCAGGTGGTGGGGGAACTTTCAGAATGGCAGCCAAGGCAGTTCTCACCTGTCGGCCTAATTCCCATCCATTTCAGGTAAGGCTGAAGAAGGGTGTGTGAAAATATGAATTGAAACGGAAGGATGAGGAGGATGGGATTAAACGGGTTTCGTTTCCGTCCGTTGTTTGTGTGTCAACGTACATTAAAAGTTGTTTGTTTGATGTAAATATGCGCAATTTTGAAGATATGCATTCATATTGTTGTTGAATTTTTAGGAAAGAACACTTATCCTGGATCAGCCAGCTAAAATTGGACGGTCCGTGGCCAGAGCTAGACCAAATGGAAATAATGCGATTTTTGATTGCAAAGTCCTTTCTAGAAATCATGCCTTACTGTGGCATGAAAACGGAAAGGTAAGAGTTTCTCACGGTAGTTAGTTGCTACCGTGTAATTAAATTAAATCATCGACTTATTTGCTGTTTGTATTGATATTTAAATTAACTGTTGAATATCCTATCTGTCACAGTTTTTCCTTCAAGACACAAAGAGCAGTAATGGAACTTTTGTCAACAACCAACGGTTGAGTAAAAGTTCGGAAGAGTCTGCACCAAGAGAAGTCTGCTCAGGTGACATTGTCCAGTTTGGTGTCGATGTGATGGAAGTTAATAAAAAATGTAAGTGCATGTGAAGTCATTTTTACTGAGGTGAATCTAATTTAGTTTAATTAAACTAAATTAAGCTCTTGGCTTATCCTCTACAGTAACACATGGGTGTATAGTTGCAAATTTGCAACTATTCTTGCCTGATGGAAAAGAAGCTAAAGCTAGGTAACTAAACTAACTAAATGTAATACATTGTTTCGTTGGTCATTATGTAGATTATGTTTTGGTAATTATTTTTACAGTTCCTCCACAACATTACCCGATAAGGCTTCCAACACCCCTTTGCAGGATATTTATTTGTTAAATGGTTACGTTAAGGTTCGTCCATTCTTTATTACATATCACTGGGTTGAATGAAGGAATTTTGTAAACTTTAAAATTAAACTGCACATGTATCAATTTACAGGAAGGCATGCAAAAGGAGCAAATGATTGAACACAAATTGGCAGCAATAACAAAGCTTTTGTTGGCAACAAAGGAATCAGCTAATAGCAACTGGAAGGCTATGATAGAAGAAGACAGACTGTTGACCAGAATTGACATATTGGAACGCCAACTTGAAACTTCTCACAAGGTATTTATTTGATACCTTGATACCTTGAGTTATTTGATACCTTGAATTTTGACTGATTAAACTCGTTCTACGCAGTCCATGACAGACGAGAGGTTGAGAGAAGAAATAGTTCAACTGCAAGAGGACAAAGAAAAATATCAAACGGTTGCTAAAGAAGCTTTACGGAAATCTATGCAGGATAAGATGGACATTGCTAAAAAATATCACGACTTAGAAAAGTAATAATTTAAATTTTCAGACTAGTATAAATGATGACTTAAACTTTCTGTGTGTAACCATGTTATTTTTGTGTCGTTCGCAGAAACATACAAACTTATCTAAAGGAAAAGGAACTCTATAAACAGTTGAGTGAACAACGCAATGATGAATTGCAAGAACTCGCTGACAAATTTGAAAAAGCAGAAGAAAAATCTAAAGAACTGGAAGACGAAATTGCAGCGCAAACACTGAAGTACAAAGAAGAACTTGAAGAACTTAACAAAAAGTTGAAAGAAGGCGAAGATCTGTTATTAGAAAAGCAAAAAATCATTGATGCTTTAATTGCAAAAATTGATTCGAGAACCGTCATCTTAACAGCACATAATGATAACACGAAAGTGATTCTTCCAGAGAACGATAGTAACAAATTAATAGAAAACGACGAGTTAGCCGACGGGGAAACAGCCAAAGAAATTACCGAAAATACTGACATAAACAAGACGGGTAAAAATAATATCAATTTTATGAAGTACCAAAATTATGTTATTAGGCAATTACCACGTTTTGTCAATATTTTCTAACCATATTTTAACATTTCATCAGGTGACGTTGAGAGCATGACGTTTCAGTTAGTATCTGCAGAACTTGAAAAGAAAGAAATCCAAGCCAGACTCAGTCAAATTTTAAGTATGTCCTTCCCCCCATTTTGTCATAATAAATATATAATAATGATTGACAAAAAAGTAATATTTTAAATTGGAATTTTCAGCTCTGTTCGAAGATTTGAAAGCTGTTTCCAACAAAAGCCAGCCTTCTGAATATTTGTCTGAACTAATTGGGAAAGTAGACGGCGAAATTCATCAGATCAAGAATTTCATTCATGGAGATGATTCGATAAAGAACAACTACAACATAACGGAAAAGGTATAATTTGAATGGCTTTGAACACATTTCTCGAAAATTGTGATAAATTTAAAAGTTGTTTTATTTAACATTCCGTAGTTGAACGAGATCAACGCCGAAAACCACGTCAACCGATTAAATTCGGATGCAACCAATGGCGTTGAAAGTACGAATATTATAATTTTGGTCAACTGGGTGATTGGCATAATTTAATTTAGCATACTCTTTGTATGTATATATCCTTTGCGTAATTTAATACGTTGATTATTTAACGTATGCGTATACCCGGGTTATTGGGGCAAAAGGGATATTCAATAAGTGTTCATGTAGTAGCCGGGAATTAGTGGTAGTTGGTTGGGTTTGTTGCACGTGTTTTTTAATATTTTATTTTTATTTTGCTTTGGAATGTTATTTGCCTAGATAGTTTGACAATGGAAGTAGCTGCGGAGTATGAGTTTTGCAAATGTAAACTACTTCTTGTAAGAGGTCAGAGATGGTATTTTGAATTAAGCGTTGAATGTTGCATTCTGCATTCTACTTCATCTGCAGATTCATCAAAGCGAATCCTGCAAAATGCTGTGCTACTGTGATTAAGTTGACGTTTAATATTTTGTCTTCATGTCTCGTATATTATCTGTATATTTATACGTATGTAGTTTGTGATGTTTTCTTTTAAATGGGGCTTGCATTATATTTCTCTCGAGTATTGTGTAACAATTGTTTATCCTGTCATATCAGAATTGTTGGAGGAATCCCGGGACACGATCAAAGCTCTTCAATCAGAAGCCTCATTAGCTAAACGTCAATTCGACAACCTTCAAGAAAAGTATAGTGCTTGTGCCATTGACATTGAGGTACAAATTAAATTTAACTTAATTATGTAAAATATACAATAATTTTCCATTATTTTAATCGTCGATTATATTTCTTTCAGAAATACAAGAAGCAATTTGAAGGAGTGTCTGAAAATAACTCCGTGCTTGTATCTCGGCTATGTTTTGCCCAGGAGAAATTGGTGACATTCGAGCAACAAGATTCAGAATGGCGTGACAAGTTTATGAGTCAAACTGAGACACTTGAAACTAAAACGAGGCTAATTGAGTCTCTGGAAGGTATTCATTGCAAAGAGCTTTTCATTCAGTGTCTGATATTTAACTGTTATAATGTAACATTTCTCTAAAACTTAATCAATAGGTGAACTTCGTGCCTTGAAAAGTCCCAAAGTCGGCCAGAATGATCTCAACAGAGGGAAACAGAAACATAATATTGCACTTGAGGTGGCTTGTCAAACAATTCAAGATTCAGCTACTTCAAACTCGTAAGAATAGATAATCACACATAATAATACATGGCACAAGTTTAATTTGTGGGCTTTGTATAATGATTACCATTTTCTGTGTACTACAGGAGTGCTCTCCAATCTTTCAATGTAAGCAGTGATCTACTGAATTCGAGCGTAAGCTCTGATTCCGTTGCATCAGATCTTCAGGATAGGGTAAGCCAAATTTATTTGCATCTTTCTATCTTTCGCATTTATCTTTCGCAAGCGAAATTCAAAAATTCAAATTTCATTGCCATTTTCAGCTATTATCCACGGAAGAAGAGCTCGCAGTGTACAAACACAGGTTCAGCGAAAGTTCGGCTGCATGTGCAAAACTTAGTCGGGAATGTTTGGAGCTCCGATCTGAACAAGATACGCTATTTAACCAGTCAAAGGTGATAATAGATTTACTAGATAACGCATTACTGTAATATACTTACCTGAGTACTTGAATGCTATTAGTTTTTTTACCTTAATGTTCATATGGTTCTGGTTTGTTGTTTATTTTTACAAACTTTTTATATTTTACTTTACAGGTCCAGCTATGTTATATAATCCCGATAGTCATTCTCATTTTGGCCATTTTAATCGGTTTACGTCCGTCGTCATGAAAAGAATTCCGTCAAGATGAAGGATGAAGAATTGCCTAATTCAACTGCGGCAACTTGTCGTTTGGTGCCACTGAAGTTTCTGTTACAAGTAAATATAATAAGCTCGAGAAAATTTAGATATGATAACTTCCTAACGATTAAACTATATATTCTCGTGGATGCAGTTTTTCCACAATTTAAAAATGTAATCTCTGTATAGGATGAAAATTATCGTTAAATTCGTGTGTTCCAGCTTTATTTAATACCTGATGTAATCGCCTAAAGTCATTGATAACGTATTTTACAAAATTCATGTTGTATGTATTTTAGTTGCTGAAGAGTAAAGTGCCGTACAATCTCTCCATGCTAAAAAAATATATAATCGCGTTGTAGGTATTTTGTTAGTGTTCTGTTCCACTTGTCGTCCTCTTTATCGCTTTTATGATGGCCTTTTATTCGAAACACCTCGTTGCTTACTGCCACCGAGGGCTGATGATGCAGCTATTTAAACAGAAATCTTCATTCTTGACGTTTGAGTTCAACCAACCAACAATAAAACCATTACTGGAACAATTACACTTGCAGGAAGAAAATTTTGGACATTGCCCACTTTTATTGGCAAATCATTAATTTTATTACAAATAGAAATAACTTGTACCAGAAAATTAATAGTGTCAATCAGAAGAATGTTTATTGCTGTCATTTATTGTCAATATATGCGGATTATATTAATAATATGTTTCATCTAATATGGTACAAAATTTCTCTTACTTTAAATTTGGTACCCTTGAACAATTGTACAATGATTGTGACCGACATACTAAATTAATAAGTGACCTCAGTTTAAAGAATTTTAGTTCTAGTCCTACTGACACACTCATCCCATTTTATGTGCCCTATTAGAAAATTGAAGCGTATTGTATGTTATACATCCCTTGTTGCCGTTTATAACAAGGGTTCTAAGATTGTGTATTGCCTATGCTCTATTTTATATCCTTCTCATTAAGAAAACTATATAGAACGCTGTGTCATTTTCTCATTTTATGATGATCTGTTATTGAGTCCAAGGAAGAAAATCAGACAACATTTGTAATACTTTCATAGCAGGCCGGTACGCCATGTTGGGTAATTTGGAATACGCAGAACTATACAAAGAATTACATTCAGTTTAACCAGTCTGAGATTATAACTATGTAGTTGGGTAACACTTTTGGCCTGGTATAAAACTTTTGTAGCTAGTTGTACACAACTTCCTTGTGATTTATCGTTTACATAAATCGGGTTTACTGAAGCGAATAATATGCAAAACACACCCGTCGTAAAATACAACAGCGTTTGAAGTTATATCATTTGTTATGATTCAATTTTAATTCTACTTTTTTTGGCATGGAGGTTGTGCTATCTATCAAGGAGAATATTTTAAGCGATGGAAGGAAGTGACCTTGCATCATGATAATTCTAATTTATTATGCATGATGCAAATATGTGTTTTATTTTAAGTGAATGTACGAAATATATGTAAAATTGAACAAAATGTGACGAGACGTATGGGTCTTGTATGTCATTAAATTTACGTAAGACACTACTTTATAATTTATCTTCCCAACTGGGTCTGTGAACCGTAGTGGCGTGGGATGCATGACTAAAGTTTTTAAGGTGGTGAGTGAAATTCAAAAGTAAAAAGTATCGCAAAATCGCACAAATTACTTTTACCGCTGACATTTTACTGGAATAAATGGATCGCCTGTCCAATATACAAAATGTTACACTTCTGCATTTGTACTACTAATTTCTCCATACGAATTTTATCTCCCATTTTGGGATTCATTGCATCCCATCCTTTCGGTCTCGTGTTAAGGACCGGTCGGAATAAACCTCTGACTGAAGAGAACTCCGAACGCCTTTTTTTCCTCACTGATACGTACACTGATTTGATAAATTGCGTAGCTGAACACCATTGTCAATAGGGAAACGGTCGTTATTGCTCGTCTACAGCACATACATTGTGTGCTTGACCCTTGCGACCCTTAGATAGTCGGCTGGTAGAGTCGTTTACTATTGCGATAAAAGCAATTCTGACCTGCAATTTAATACAACATTAACCCAGCGGAATGGGGAATGTCGAACGTGTGAGCAAAGTAGAGGAAAGGACCACTGGACTGGACCGAGAAATAGAAAGTGGTGGTAGTTTAGTGTAATGTTGTGCAGAATCATGACATTCGAAAGTAATTGAGCCTACGTAGTAGCTGAGCTCTGTGGAGTGAAAGCTGCTCCGTCGGCTTCTCAGCTTCCAATGCGAAGACACGAACGACAGGACACTGCTATACATACATAAGTCGGTTGGAAGGGTCTGCTGCCTTCTTGCGCTGAAATTCCTTGAACTGGACTTATGACAATTGTGATCGTTCAGAGTTGCCAATTAGTACGGGTTTCAAGCGAATTTTACTGTCATTGTTACAGGATTCAACAGCAACATCTGCAGACGAAGGATTATTTACTTTCATTCGTGTCTGCATTCATACGTTGGCCAGTAGCTTAGAATCGGCTCATGTATTTATTTACTTCTCTCTGCAAAGACAGTGATGTAGCACCATGAAACAAAAGCATCGCGTCGTGTACTGCACGTGTATTTCTCGCTTTTTTGTCCGCATTACCATCATATTTCGGGCAAGATTGTCATGTTTGGTGTCGAAAAGCCACTGATTTGGAAAGCAAATGTAGTGTATGGCAACTGTAATGAACGTTCCCCTTGAGCTCTAGAGAAAATAATGGCGCAAGAATGTGTGGATGGATTGCAATGCTCTGTGGAGTAAGTACATACCAGTTGAGAGAAAGAAAGATGTGTATGTGTGTTGAGATAGGGATGAGACCGGGAAGCGGAATAGTCCTGTTATGTGATGGTAGTTGGTTGTAAAGAAACGTAACGAGAGAATTATAGAGGAAAAATGTACACTGGTCGGTCTCCTGTATGTGGAGTCTGTGTAGATCCAGATCCGATCCAACTTTCTCTTTCTCTCTCTTAACACAAATCGAACGTTGCGAGAGAAAGTAGAGTTTCGGATCGGAATCTAGCTCAAGCCCAGACTACTCACACGAGGAGGCCGTTTTCCCTGCTCAGCCAGCTTTCTCTGCTTTCTCTCTTTCTGGTGGACCACGGAGTTCCTGGGAATTTGAGGACAGTCGAGAAGCAACTGTATGACGGTGAGCAGCAGAGTGAGCGAGTTGGTTGCATTTTCCCGGAGTGATTCTTTCACTTTTCTCCAGCACAGCCTAAATCCGACGAAGCCGGTGTGGAATAGTGAGATAGAGATAGAAAAAAAGGTCCTGCTTGATCACTGCCTACTCTTTTTTCCCCCCACGCGAAACGTCAGAATTACATAATACGACCATCACAATTCCTGGGGAAAGGTTAAGGAGGATCTCCGAGGGGAAAGTAAGATAGAACATAACAGTAGCAATTTACGGTACAACTTTCTCCATTGTGCACACGCAATGCCACGATGGGAAGAAGAAGACAAGGAAGAAACTCACAATTCAATGTGATTATTGCTTCAAGAGAAAACAAAAAGTAGCTTCTTTCTCCTGCACTTCTGCCATTTCCTCATGTGTGTTGCTTTGAGAGTGAGGGACAAAGTGTGTGTGTTGTGGTTTCCTTACTCGGCGACTGGTTTGAGACAAAGAACAGACGTCGTTTTGTCCTGCCTGACACTGGATACATTTCCTCTTCCAGCACTGCTTTCTCGATCCCTCATTTAAAAGAAATCGGACAGAAAAGTGAAAGTGGTGGTTGAGTGCAATCAATTGAGGAGCCACTTTTTATCTGATACCGGCAACCACACCACCACCACCACCAGGCAGAAAAGACTTCCTCTTCAATGGTGAAGAAAAGCAGGCGTAATCAATAAAGCAAGTAATAGAAAGGATTACAAAATTCGGAACTCGGTGACAGATAGACATTGATATATTTCCATGGTCGGGATTAATATTAACATACCATTAATCAGGACCACGAAAGGTAAATAATAAGTATGAGCACGAGGCGTGGGAAAGTGGGAGAGTAAAGTGCTTCCAATTCTGGAAATATGAAATATTATCATATTTAATGCAAAGTTCAGCCCGAGTTTGCATGCATGAGTTGAGGAATTGAAAGAGTCGAATTAAATGAGAAGGACCATATCAGCTGTGCAGATATAATAATGATAACCCTAAAATTCTACGATTCGACAAGCAGCTTGCTCCTTTATAGACTCGTTTCACAAAGGAATTGAATCAATGTACAAATCGCGAAACGAATTTCACTCCTCTCTCCAGGTCAGTGATGTGATGCATCAGTAATCCGCTCGCCATTCCAATCCACGCCGAGAGTTGAATTCAATTGAGTTTGAGTGAATTTTTAGTGGACCAGTGGTCGAGATTCGGCAGAGCTTTCGCTTTTTATCCAAAAGTATTCTGACTGACCACTGCCAACTACATCTGATTACGAATTTTAAACCAAATCCAGATTACATTTCAAAGTTAGCTGAATTTCTATGCAAGAAATGTGTACCTACGTGGAAAGCAATTTCGTCTGCAATTCTATCCCCAGATAGAAACCAACCAAAGTGATGAATTACAGTGAAAGTTTCTAGAAACTGAAAGCCCTGTGGATTTCCATTTAATCCATACGTACCAATAGCAAACAACAGTCAACAAAATAGTGTACTTTCACCCAATACAATTTCATGTAGTCATCCGTCTTCTTGCAGCAGGTTCACACCACGAAAATTGAGTTACTACATCTGGAATTCATTCGTCAAGGAAAAGTCTTCAGAATTCCTCCCCTTCACTACACCTTTATTGTTCAAGTAATCAAGTTGAAGTCTGGGGTGCCAAGTCTACACTCCAATAAACTATGTATGTACACACATATGTCATAAATATATGTTTCACATTGTGAGCTTAATAGTTTCATGAGTTTGTTTCTTCATGTCGCAACAACTTTGTCGTGGCGAATTATTTGCGTCAATTCCGATCTATTTGTTTTACACTGGACAGGTGCTGACCATTCTATTATTATTGAGCGGAGTACAATACATGGAATAAAAGAATACGACGTGCAGTGGTGTTCGACTGGGAGGTAAGAATTCTTAAAATATTTGATGAACAATAGCGAATATAGCTCTATACATAGTTTCTAGTTGAGGATCTTCATATAACTAGTTGCTTAAACGTATTGTCGTCTCTTAAAAAATACATGTCATAGCCGGCAGCTTGTTATTGTGCATCGAGAATCCAACCAAATCCTATAGCATCGGAGGTAAAGTGAAAAGTTGGATGGGAGTAAACTTGTGTGAGTAAACTCGTATTTTTTTGTGCGTCTTCTAAACTTTTAACTTTTTCATACGTCAACAAGTTCATTTAAACTTTTGATGGGAAACAATCCATCGAAGGTTTAGCACAAATCCTTTTCTCTTCCCATTATTTTGGAACACAGCAACCTCGACCAATTATAATTAGTATTTGCAGTACAGGGCCTATACTGTACATAACGTCATTAGGGTTGAGTGAAATAATGAAGGAGACCTTCTACGCGACAACTTCGGACTATTAATTTACTTTGACGGATTTCAGTCTCCGTTAACCTATATTTCTGCATAGAGAGCGTTACACATTTATTCAATATATGCACGAATTTTCCACTTAGTGAAAATAAGATAAGATGAGCTACAACATTATCGAATACACTTTTGCACGCTGCGTAGAAAACTTTTGCTAATTCCTGCTAATGCTTCCGGACTTACCAATCGCTAAGACCGGTACGTACGTATATGCTCGCAGAAGATCTGTGAACGTGGGTAATTTATGCCGCTACTGGGCTTCATTTCATTCCCTTATTATTGGATCGAGAGTTCAAAACAACGTGAGTCGAAATCTCCGAGTTCGTCCATGAATGCATGTAGTGCAAGGCGTGTCATTTGCTGGGGTTTAACGTGTGAAAGAGTAATCGTTTTTATCGCCAGTTCTAGGCCTATGCTTTCAACAACATTGTGGTTAGTCATACGTCGCACATTACAAAAGAGCCTCAGATGGCAAATCTCATTAGTGGAAACTGTAAATTGTGTAGGGCTACGGTACGAATCCCACTTTTCTCCAGGTTCGTATAATCAATCAATTTATATTAATTAAAACTATATTTGATGCAAAAGTACTACTTTCGCCTTGGCTTAAATTGCCATTTCAGGCTCACCCTTTTAACTCTAAGGTTAAGACAGGTTGTTAAAATGGGCCCATTTATTATGTCCCTACTCCTTCCACTACATGTGACGTTGTGGTGCTGCTGCTGCTCTGGTGTTTCGTAATCCTGACATTATGTAAAACTAGGAAGATTGAACCAAGAATGAAGGAAGGAAGGTATGTTGCTCATCATTGTGTCGTCTACTCGTCTGTAGCATTATCAGTGATAGAGCGGAAAGACGGATACGCGAGGTGGATGAAGTGCAATGAGATAAGTTACGTTATGTATCCGCCATCCCGAATTCTATTCTTAGTTTAGCGTTGGTTTTCGCGCAGCGATTCCTCAATTGCAGTATGACTGCATTTAACTCAATTCGGTTTCGGTGCTGATCGAGTTGAAGATTCGTCAGCGAATTAAGTCAGCAAAGCAAGAAGCAGCGTCAACAAATACAAAGCAAACCGACCCTTTTGCTGTCTCAAACTTGGCTGAATAAAATAGAAAAATGGAAATTTGTGGTTTCGCTTGATTCGTTTTACTACTGCACATGGCAGGTTGGAAGATATTGTAGTGAGAGTAAAAGTAAAAGTTGGTGCTGCGCTTCATTTCACGAGGATGACGTGAGTCTTGGACATCTTGCTCAGAATTTACTCCAACTTACCTTCTCATCAGGAAAAGTTTTTCCGGTTTCGCATAGCCGGTTGTGTTGTCGGAAGAAAAGTGATGTCCAGTCGAATAGTGTTTCTTCGCGTGGTTTCAACTTTCGACGATTTGTATTATAGATCGGAAACGATATAAATAATATATTGAGATTGGTAGTCCTTGAACCTATTTAAGTGTGCAGCTAACCTCGCAAGGTTTGTTGCATATGCCTCCCGTAAAGTGATGCGTGGTTGGTTCAAGAAGAAAAGGAACCAGCAATTTGTGAAAACAATTTGTAATAATAATCTGTTCGGACTTCTGGATATTCTCAGCGGTAGTAAAACCAACAAATTCGCTTATCCCACGCCAATCCTCAAACCATGGGCGGAAGAAGAGTCCTCCATCATTTTGCTCCAACTTAGCTGGCTGACTGATGTTTTAAATTTATTCTTCTACATGAACATCATTTCGTCTTCAAAATAGTAATCCCCTCAAAGCGTGTTTACATATCACCCTCTTCCTCCTCCTCTCAGTGCTCATTTAAAAATTTACAAGAGAAATAGACCAACAAACTTTCCCCAAAGTGAAAACATTCAAGTCAAAGGATCACCTTAGAGGAGAAAAGTGCATATTTATTTCGGATCGTGTTTTATTCATTAAAAATTTAATTTTAAAACTTCTTAAAGAAGATGATGCCAAACTATTTTTAGTAGAATGCGTGGAGGGAATACGCGTAAAATGCACAGGTGGGTGGAATCCACTACTCTGAGTAATAAGTAATTTGGCCAATTTGGCGTAACGCACACAACAAGTATTTATTACGAGAGGCAATTTCACCCGGAAATTTCTGAGATGACAAAGTGCAGGTGGAGAGAAAGGTGAGCACTGTTGTTGGACTTGACATGTAGAAGTAAAGTACACAGGCAGCCGAACGAGGGGGGTTTACCACTTGACTGACTGGACTGGAGGGATAAAAGGTGGTGCACCTGGGGCCGGAATCCGTTCTTCTGCTGAACTCTGCTTCATGCAATATTCATGAAGCTACTTGAGCATTGTTCTCGCCCAGTCATGCCGAAAGTGGAACACACGGAGAAACTGCTCTTCAAAATTACTCCTGTAAAAAGTAGCAAATGAGGAAAGGGAGAATGTAAATGTGTTCAGTGTCAGTTCTCCTAAGGAATTTGCAAAGAAAACACAAAATCATGCACCTTTTCCACATACACGGAGATAAGCAGTCAGGTTCATACGTTCGAGGTATTTGTTGAGACTCACTCTGACACATGTACAACGTCTAAATTTAAATTAACTTAGATTGATAAAATTTCACTCGCTCGTGTACTTTCTTGATAGATTGTCAACTTTCTTTTCCACAAAAAAAACAACATGATAAAACCATGTCGGGTTGATGATGATGATTTCCATCGCTTTTTATACTCGTTAACTTTTTTATGTGTGTGGAGCTATTCATCATCATTGCTTTGCTACGGGCATGTGGAGGCATGAGGAGGAGGAGAAGAATGTTATTAATATTTGGAAACATCAGACTTTGGAGAGTTGTGACGTGAATGAAAGCACACAAAACAAATCAGTTTGTTTTCGACAAAGACGGACTTTATCTAATATTCTGTGAGTAGTGATATCAAATAAATGAAAGGCCTTTTCAGTCTCACTACTAGCACAATAATTCTATTTCTACAGAGTATGTACGTACGTACGTAGAAACGAGCGAATTCCCCGACTCTTTCCTACCCAAAAGACGCTGCAGTGTGATTGATTGATTAAATCTCTTGCTCCAAACAACGCGATTCAGATCTTAAAACAAACTAAGACAACTTTCTTTGTTTAGTCAACATTTATATTATCTGCAGTGCCACAATCTTCTTGCAGGGCGAGTGTTGAAATGAAATTTTGATTTGACAAACTTTGTCTCTCACGATTCTCATGCTTCAGAGAAAACTTTAGTATAATCGGATTCTTGGCTGGCAGGATGCTATGTCGTGATATACTTAAGTAAGAGACTGGAGGGACCATCACCTCTGATATTTCCTCTGCAATACAATTTCCTCTCGCTACAATTGTGCAGTTGTTTTGATTGTTTTGCTTAGAATACTGATGCCCGTTAACTTGATTTTCTCCCGATTCCAGAACATTTCTCGAGTTTGAAGTCTACCATAATAACCTAACCGTTGACCCAAACAGTCATTTATTAATCAGTAATTTAGCTGTGACTCGCATCGTTAACTATGAAAGTCAACAATTTCACGGTTGAATTTAATCTTCAATCCACGCAGAGTATAACATTGGTTTTCATCATCATTCACATTATGCGCTCGCATTCTCAGAAGAAGGTATCAAATAACAATAGGCAATGGTGCAGCAATAAAGATAAAAGTTGAGGATCACGATGTACAAGGAGATGCAGAATTGAACATGCCTTGCAAATTGGGCAGATAAGTCAAACATTCCCTTCTGACTCCTATTATGGATGTTTTTCATCCATCGCGACTATCACTTGGTCAGTACTAACTTGTTGCAAAAATATGTCACTTTGCTTAATTATGGTATGGGTGAAGGAACAGTGTAGTGTGTGCTGGTGGATAGTTGGCATGTGGCCTGTCGTGTCACATTATTCTCAAGAAGTAAATGGGATGAATGGTGGATGGATGGACGCTTGACTGATGTCACATCGCATCTCGTATAAGGAGTGAAGTCTTCATATTCTCAATTGATAGAATCTCAAATGATGGCCAATGATTTTGCGCTCCTGCTGCAATGCACTGGTCATTATTGGATTGTTGTTGCGATTCCAAATTTGACTCTTGGCCATTAATCATCTTGCCTTCTTCTCATATTCGCAAGTGTAGAGTCGGCAGTGGTCTCATGGGATAGTTGAAGACCAGGTCTCGGCTAGTGTGGTAGTTGGTTGGTATTTGTTCTGCAATAATTTGTGGCATTCTCAGAAATATAGAGCTTCATCATACTTATTCTCCACATTCATCTTACATACGTCATCATTCAGAGAATGTGAACGCTTCCATAACCCAACAAGATCGTGAATGTGAATCAGATTTGAATGAAAAGCAGTCGAATCACTCTTTACATTAGAATATTAATTCGGTGTGTGGTGTCTTTTTCATTTGTGGTTTGCATTTTCGGATCCTATTTAAATAGGAGGGAGGCAGGGAGCGGGTAGAATAGACACCGTGCGTGCATCGAAACCACGCTCAATTGAAGGAGAAACAAACCCCAGGGTAAGTAAAGCTGCTCTTTGAGTTTTAGTTCAGTCTTTATGGAAATTTAATCAAATTATTCTCCGGTTAGTGACTGTGGTGTGGTCTAGTTAAAATGAGAAATGGGTACGAGTTCATTACCAAAAGACACGAGACAAGTTGCGGAGGAGAACACATTTAATTAAATTAACGTGCCCTGTTATAGTTATGACCGTTTCGTAACGAGGATATGGAGAAGTGGGGAAAGTTGGAAGTTAAATCTCTAAAGGATTTGATTAGTAGAATGTATGGCAGCCACCAATAAGAATCATAATGCTTGGGACCCTTATCCACGAAATTATGTACATATATTCTCATCCTTACTCCTTGCTGGGTTAGTTTCTCTTGGATTTTACACAGTGACACAGTGCCAATGAATTTCTGAACTACCAACTTCCTGTAGAAATGGGGAAGGAAATTGGGTAGATTTCAGTCTAATCAGCATTATTTAAATTGCAATACATTCGCACAGCTACACTAAACAAACATTAAGACTGAACTTCCAGGGACACTTATAATACAAGGGGTGAAGCTGATAACGTTTACATGGACTATGGTTAAAGTACAACTTTGGAGAAGACTACGAACGGAATTATATATTGCAATTTCCATTAATTTTTAATTGTACTCGTCTCCTACATAAACCAGAGTTTCAAGCCAAGTTAAATCCAGCACAGAACTTTCTAAATGTGATTGTTTTCTAGGAGGCACGTTGGGTTATATTAAAGTTGGAAAGTAGCGAAAAGCTGATTTGTTCGTGAATGTTTCAACAGATTAAATGCAAGTTTTGATTGACTCGGAGTTGCTATGTACATAATGTCACGCTATATTTTAGCTGTGTTTAACGTCCTTCTTACCTCTTCTGCAAACTAGCTAAACTATTTAAAATTATGTTGCCAGGTCGCATAAATAGACTCAAGAATGCATGCATAAATTACTTAATCTGACACGTAATATTTGCACATAAATTGTTATTGAATATTGGAGCATAAATTTTATTCACAGAGTAAGCATTATTATCATTTTACATACATGATCATTAAAATATTTAATAAATAAATATGTACAAGATTTATGCTGGTATGTATTCATTTTGCCATGAAGATCTCTTTCAAGGTCTCCTAAATAGCGGAGAAATCATAGCCGTTGTAATAGTAATCGACTAGTAGTTGATGAGAGAAAGTTCCGTTGGGTTCAAAAATGCATGCGAAGCTAACCACACAAAGTAATCAAATTTCACTACATGACAAGCAACTCTGCATCCAACTACAATGCAATTCTACATCAAGTTCTGAGAGGAGCACAAATAACGTTCGTTAGCTTAATCATCATCGAAATCAATAATTAAACCCGAAATTTCAAATGGAAAGTTAAAAAGTAGTGCACATGTTATTCCCTTTACAGGAATCCTTTTCATCTTTTACCACGATTTTCCAACTTTTTATTACTTTCTTTTTAATTGCAACGTTATTCATCTCATACTTTTCACATTTAACCCTTTGCGATTTGAACTTGTCCATGAAAAACATTTTTTAATAAGATTCAAGATCTTTATGGCATAACGGCTTATAGAAAAGGAATTTGGAGTACACTTCATAGTAATGAATTGGATTTACACTACATTTTTTGTGAAATTTATTTATCTGGATTTGGTAAAGTTCATAAAACTCTTCAACTTTATAAACGAGAATGTGCCGGATTTCACATGCTCTTATCATAAGTCGTGTAATTCTCAACTTGGCAAAATTCCTTGCCCTCGTGTCCCATCTGCCAATAAATAATCTCTCGAAGAAATATTGGAGCAGGGTCCTCATGAATTTATTGCCGCATCAGTGAGAGAGATACCATTTCGTGTTACGGTGAGCGTTTTTTCTTACACAAGCAGCAGACTATATGCTCATATGAAAAGTGAGATTGTGCACTTTCTTGAAGGAGAAAGTAAGTAAAATATGAACAATATAGTAGTCTCGTGGAAATATGGAAATTATGCGATTATTTCACCACTTGTTTTTTACTGCCAATATCTTGTCTCGACTTCTCACTTATTTTGAAGATTGGCAAAGAGTGTGTGTAGCAGGTGCCCAGTTCACCTTTCTAATCATCTCGTGAATCAAAAAATTTTCTTCATTTCAACTTCCTAAACTTTCACGTCTGCTCGCTTCAAATGCATGCAAATGTTCCTGAATTTTCCGAAAATGTAAAACACTGCGACATGATGTCGCACTGATATAAATTAAACTTTTCATAAATTCCCGGCACAAAACTTTTTCTAAAAGTTCCAGATGAGCCGTTTGTATAAGCATTTGTCGTTGTCTTGTACAAAGTATGATATATTATGAACTTCAGCATTAATTTTAAATTTTCATGATCCTGGTGAGGTTGGTTATGAATGAGCATATTTCAGGCTGTCACAGCATAATCCATTTTCATTCTGCAAATACAAACTTTTCTTATGATTGCTCACTTTAGTAAACTTGTCCAGCCTCCGCAATCTAAACAATTTCTATTTGCAGCTTTCCATGAAAAACACAACATGCACACAATTGTCAGCCAACGAGTACTGGTGACATTGTGGGTTCAATAGAGGAGTGTTAACGTCTAATACGAAATTCTATTCTGTTCGGCACAAATTTCAAGGGTTGCATAATTTTGTAGGATTTCGTTTCGAACGAATCTGTAGCCCAAGGCTTAGACTATTGTGCTACATATTTACTACATTGCGTCAATCGGAGACCATCAACAATGCTATTCTATACTGCACTAATGTATTCCTCCCTTCCTTTTTTGGTGGAGGGCACTTTGGTGCATAGGGGATAAGTACACTGATATAAGATACGACTGGCGCAAATAAGGATTCTCCCCTTGAGTAACCCCAATTTAAAATTGCAATACGACCGGGTTTCACAGGAATGAAATCAAGCCTTCCTCAGATCTTTTTTTCCTTCAAAGGTTGGTCGTGGTGGTGGCTAACACGTCTTCAAACACTTTCACTTTCATCTCCTCCACTGTATGTTTTACTATTTGTTCCTCTGTCAAATTTGTCCTAGAATCAGGACATGGGCTCGCATCGAGAGTTGTAACAAGAACAATCGAATCGACATAAATGATTACACGTTTATCTGGCAACATCATTGTTGAAGATGTACCACGAATACTACCGATTCGCGATTTCATGATAAGTGTGAGAAGACAAAAACGTTTGGCAAGAAGAATCACGTACGATGATGAGACGACTTTTTTTCTTCTTCCGTTTACTGATTTTCTCTGATGCGAAAACAGTGAATTCAGTGAAATGTGTGATATACTTATTTTTATATACTTAAGCGAATGTGTACATATGTCAGCGTGTGTGTGTGAGAGAAAGTAGGCTTTCTCCAACTTGGTCACCTTGGTGATTTTATTTTTATCAGGATTTTTGCTGTGTTTGGTCAATTGCTTTCTTGCATCCGTCCATATACGTCCTCTCACTTGGATTGCGGTGGAGAATTTGTCTTCTAATAAATATATAAGAACCCGCATGGGGCCCAGATATAGGTCGTGTGTCCTTTCAATACACAGCCATGAAACCGGTAGTGGTGATAGTGGCTTTGAGATCATATTCTTGTACGTATCCGGTTAGAAGGGAAAATCTATTCGATTATTTTTCAGTTCTCTGCATCAGAGACTTGTACTTCTCTAGCTGACAAGTGCCCTGCACGACTGCTCTACTTGAAGGGAGCAATATTCGATTTCGATTTGAACCAAGAAGCTCTTAAGTTAACTTCACGTTTCCAAATTCAATATATTCTCTCTCAATCGGAAGCACTATGGACGGAAAAGGAAGTTGGTGGGTTGTTTGGTCGTGCCGACTCGCGGTCGGTGGTGTAAGGTGATTGGCAGCGAGATGGAATTGGGATTGCTAGATGAGCTATCAACCGCATCATTTCCCTCAGGCAACATATATACTTAAGATCCGGCATCTAATCAAACTTGTCTGGTTAAAACGACAAACCTTCTTTTTTTGCAACTATGGATATGTGTACCTTACGCTTATGGTTACACTTGCGAATGTCTGCTGGATCTGCCCGTATCGTAAAAAAAGACAATGCGTTTTTAGCTCTATTGATTTATTATGAAAATCCTCTGTGGAAGTAGTTCGCCCAAAAGTTGTCCCTTTGCAGCAGTTTATTTTTCAGTTTGCTTGCTTGTGTTTTCCACTTTTCGCAATGGAATTGAAGTCAGAGGAGCAAATAGTGAAATGGAGAGGAAGGAAAATGAATTGGTTGGTTGTCTCCATTTTTGTCGTTCAAGGAGGAGAAGTATTTTTGCGAAGGAAGAGTTTTAAGTTTAGACGGAGAAAGTATGCAGTAGTTGAGGGACGTATTGACTGCTTTATATGTAAATGACAGCGCGCAAGATAGAGTGCACGCCACGATAGGACTCCTCAAAAAGGTCTTTGTAAATTGGGAAATTCCTCTGGGAAAAAAGTTTGCAGAATAAAGTTGAAAAGTTGAAGTTGGATTAGTTTGAATTTTTAATTTAGAAAGCCATGTAGCATAACAGAATCATAAGTTTAAACGACTGTGTTGCTTCTCATAGTTGTCGCTTTACCAATTTTGCAGCCTAACTATGCGGAATTACTTGAACCATTGTTTTTTAAAAGGGATAAATAGAGAAAATTTCGTATAATTTGTATGAGATTGTGACATCTGGAGTGCAAAACGCATCTTTTGCTGATCCAGTGGAGAATATTAGGAAAATATGTCTCATAGGGTGACTCATGGGACAAATGGACGATTGCAGTTTCTTAAAGTGTTGGATTATAGAATTTGATGGGGATGGCCGAGCCGGGTTGTATGATACATATTTCGCAATCTGTGTTGTAAATTTCTCAAAATTTCCAATATTAATATTTAACGTATAGAACGTTGCGTCCGCTAAATTTTAAGTGCGTTCATCGCAACATGTTTCATTTAATGCTGGATGTCGTACTCGTAGTATTA